CCCTCCCTCCCCCCTTCCTCACCCCTCCCTTGCACCCACCTTAACACAAAGTACACTGTAGGCATGGCAACCGACCAATCCCTCCTGCGAGTACGGGCAGGACGCCCCCATGGTGAAGCCCGCCTCCTGGAAGCCAGTGAAAGGAACGGGGCAAGAGGGATCAGGAGTGAAGAAGGGAGGAAGAGAGTGAGGGACATCCAGCATTTTCACTTACGCAGAGAATTTCCCTGTATCTTTCACCCTTACTTTCTCCTCCACGTTGTGCCTACTTTGCTGCCTCACCCCCATCTATCTTCCTTCACTCCCTCCTCCCTACCTCCTCACCCCCCTACCACAGACCTGAAAGGAGCACAGACGCGCCCAAAACGCTTCCCGGTCGAACCCATCGGTGTCAAACTGGATCATTTCTACAAGGCAGGGGGGAATAAGGAGGGGAGGGGGGGCAGGAAGATCACGAAGCCGCTTTGCAATTCCTTGGACATCTTTTTCTCTTGACTAATGCTCTCCCCGCTTCCTCCATGTCCCCTCTTCCTTCCCCCCTCGCTCCTCGTCGTCCTACCGCAGGGGAAGGAGGTTAGGTCATGCATCGCCTCAGCCACGTGCCCGCCCGAGATGGCTTGGTAGGAGCCGTGAGCCTAGGAGGGAGGGAGGGAGGAAGAAAAGGAGGGAGGGGAGGTGGGAGAGCGGTCACCGTGGTTGACCTCAGGGGGGGAGAAGAGAGAGGGAGGAGGGGAAGGGAGGTAGGGAGGGAGGAGGCGCCGTTCTCTCACCTTGGAGTATGCCTTCTCCACGAGGGAAGGCCAGAGCTGTCGGAAGCGTCCTGTAAGAATGGAGGGAGGGAGGGAAAGTGGGAGGAAGGAAGGGAGGAAGGGAGGAAGGGAGGGAGAGTGGGTGAAAGACACGCGTCGAAGGGGGAAGAATAGGGAGGAGGGATGGACAATACCCTTGCAGAAGCGAAGTTCCATGAGTCGATTGGAAGGACGGTGGAGGAAGGCGTCAGCCGGGTCGCTTTTCGCGCCATTTTTGGGTGTACGCAGGGGGAGGAAGCCGTCGATGGGGTACACCTGGGCGCGGGAGGAGGGAGGGAGGGAGGGAGGGAGGAAGGAAGGGTGGCAGGGAG